TCGCTTGCACATGTCCCGATCCTAAACTCGATGCAGTCCTCACGTGAACCTTGGTATCTAAAAACCCTGCATCCACCCCTCGAAGCCCGCACTGAATTCCTTCGAAATCTTGATAAGCCATAAACCCTACAACCGAATCTAGTCAAACAGCACCATAGCCTACGAAAGCTCTTAAGAGAAGCCTAAATGCCACAACTGATACCTGAACCCTGGTGCCCTTAACCCCTTAATGCTACACACGTCTAAGGACAGCGATGGGGAGAACCTGGATTGGATTTTCGAAGACAAGCTGGTCAAGGTCCGACTTTGTTTATATAGGTCCGAAAGGCCAACCCTAAACTTTAAACCCTGAGCCCTAAACCCCTAAACCCCTAAACCCTAAACCCTAAACCCTAAACCTCTAAACCCCAAAGTCCTAAACCGTCATCCCTAAACCCGAAACCCCCAAAACCGCGGAAAACAGAACCGAGAGCCCCACTTGCAGGCTCAGGGGATTGGGTAAGCAGGTGCTGCATCCTATCTGAGATTCCCAGCTTTCTTCTACAGCCTCAAGCAGCCCCCGTACGGCTCCTGAAAGGTTCCTTTTGAGGGGGGCAAAACCTTGAACCCGAACCCTCCAGGTACCTACTATAGAGGGTACTAGAGCCCCTAGGGCAATATATACATATATAAATATAAATAAAAATATATATATATATAGTAGGCACCTGGAGGGTTAGGGTAAAGTTCAAAAAAAGAGACGAAAGCCTTAGAGCCTGATGGTTGCCAAGATCACTACTTGGAGGATCGGGGGACTTAGGGTTGATGATATGGGAGTTTCAGAAAATTAGGGTACCTTATTTTGGGGTCCTTATAATAGGGATCCTATTATTTAGGGTACTATATTAGGGTCCCCTATTTTCGGAAACCCCCATATAATTCCTGCATTACCTAGAGGCTCCATATATGCTACTATTATGGAGTTAGGTCCCAAAAGACCATCCATGTTGTGGTTTTGGGGACCTGATTCCACAATGGTAGTAGATATGGAGCCTCTGGGTTACCCACAATAGGGAATATACCATAATTTCCATACTTTAGGGTCCTCACGGTAATCATCAGCAGACGACGTACGTCGCGGTTATAACCTATGAGCGCCTTGTTTCAAATTGTAAGCAACTTTATCTACAGCTGCCGTACTTCTAGAAGCCTTCTTACTACGTCCCCTCCTCCCTTAACAACAAGCACTTCTCCAAAAATGCAGAGACTCAAGCAGCCCTAAACCATAAACCATAAACCGTTAAAGCCCCAACCCCCCCAAACCCTGTCTTACCGTCAAGGCTCGTGATCCGTCATGCACCCCCGGTTTTACTCCAGGATTTCGGGGTTTAGGGTTTAGGGTGTTTAGGGGTTTATCGTCGACCCTAAACCCTAAACCCTAAACCCTAAACCCTAAACCCTAAACCCTAAACCCTAGGAGGCTGTGGAGAAGGAGATGGCGGAGCAGGGTGTGCTGTTTGAAGGCCGCCCAGCTTTCTTAAGCCAAGCGTGTTGGGGTTTCGGGGTTTTGAGGGTTTAGGGCTTAGGGTTTAGGGTTTAGGGTTTAGGGTTTAGGGGAGGTTCGAAAAACCTAGAGGTGTTTCGGGTTTCGGAATTTCGGGTCTAGGGTTTAAGGTTTGGGGGCTGAGTGTTTAACATTCAATGGCTTAGTGCACCCTACAACTCCTAATAGGCTCTTCACCTTAGACCCTATATGGCCCTAAACCTAAAGCCCTACGCCCTGAAACGTGAAACCCGGAATCCTAAGCCTTAAACTCGGAGCCTATCAATCATACATGACCTGGATCGCCAGTGACTCGACAGTGACAGGGTGCATCGATAAATTGAAGGATTCTTTGTAGCTTTGCTTTGGGCTTTAACAGAGATTGATGCCTTCAGGCGTGGGTTTCCTGATAGGTTTTTGCAGGAAGTTTATCATAGCCAATAACAGGGCTTGCCAGGGCTTTAGATAGTTCACAGGAGTTGGACACTTGCAATCTGCCTCGGGGGCATCAACAACAAGCACAAGCAGTGATACTATTAAGCAGAAAGGGAGCACAACAGCATCAAGAACACAACTGCAGCAGCAACATCAACAACAACAGCATCAGCAACAGCAACAACATTAACAACAACAGCATCAGCAACAGCAACAGCAACAACAGCAACAGTTACAACAGCAACAGCTACCGCAGCAACAACCACTACTACTCCTCCTCCTCCTGCTACTGCTACTCTTGCAGCTGCAACAGCAACTTCAACTATCTACAGCAACACCAGCAACAACAACAACAACAACAACAGCTACAGCAGCTGCTGCAGCAACAACAACAACAACAACTTCGTCGTCTGTCTTGATATGCTTGTGCTGAAGAAATTTCATTCGGATCAACAGCTGGTGGTGTTAACACCAACTCTTCCTTTCCACCATTTGCGCTACGCACATTCATCTGACACACGAAGCTGGCCCTTCTTTCGAGGCCCCTGTTGTCTTCGCGTTGGTGTCACCGGGTTGTGTCGTGTTCCGGATGTGGCCCTGTGCCGCTCATGGTTTCGGTTTTGGCTTCTTGTTGTTGTTGTTGTTGTTGTTGTTGTTGTTCTTGTTTTTGTCGTTGTTGTTGTTGTTTTTGTTCTTGTTTTTGTCGTTGTTGTTGTTGTTGTTGTTGTTGTTGTTGTTGTTGTTGTTGTTGTTGTTGTTGTTGGTGTTATTGTTGTTGTTGTTGTTGTTGTTGTTGTTGTTGTTGTTGTTGTTGTTGTTGTTGTTGTTG